TCGGCGCTAGTTTTAAAAGTTTTACAGTATATACTACCGGTAGATCATTCAAATATTACTTATTTTTGGCCTTTAAACATACAGCTGTCAATTAACGTATATCCACAGAGGATAGAATAGCATATCCTAAGGTACCTTGTTCAGTGTCTGTTTTGTCAAAATATTTTTACCCTATCTCATCTTGGTGGCTGTGCTTTCTAATTTTTAATATGGAAAAATATTCTTCATTGTGTCATAAAACCATTGAATTCTGCATTTTGATAGTACATATTTATGTATTTTGACAATCTATACAGAGCCACCGAAAAGATAGTGCAACTATACAAACTGAAGAGTATCCCAAGTCAGGTATGTAAAGTCAATTTTTATTTATGTTGTTTGGCATATTAACTACAATCAATGAGATAAAGTATTTTCACTAATATTTTATTATCCCTGATTGACCACTTCAGTGAAAATAGAGTACTCTGGTAGCATTAAAGAATTAGGTTTCTGAGTTGCATTATATTCGATATGATTCCAATTATAGTGACATATACAACGTATATAAACATACATTGTACATTTCTGCCATTCTTGAACAGGACCTCCGTCATGTCTGGATAGATTTCATTCAAACATGGTAAATACATTGGACATAATGGGACCATGTTGCATGCTATTTTGTTTTTTCAGATGGGATTCAAAATGGCCAATTGGTTGCCATTTTTTTAAACATGCTATATACTGAGTATATACTAACAAGACCATAATTTTAATACTTTTTTCAAAATGCCCAAATGATGTTGTTTAACATATACATTGCCTGATTGCAATCAAACTTTACAACCAAGCAGAGAAAAAAGCAGAAATAAAAAACTTGCATCTTTCTTTACTCTCATGTAATTTTTAGCTCCGCTGTCGACTTTGTCGAGCAGAGCTTATCATATGAGTGATTGTTCGTCGTCGTCGTCCGTGTCAATGTTTTACTTTTTCGACTTGTTCTTGAAAACTACAAGCCTGAATGCTTTGATACTTGGTGTATATGTTCCCTGGGTAGACCTCTCTTAGATTTGTTCATTTCATGATGATATCTTCAATTCTCTAATTTTGGTGAATATTTTTGTCATTTTTGGTAAAAAGTGATATTTTCGACTTCTTGTTAAAAACCGCAAGTCCAATTGCTTTGATATTACATATATAGGTACTACATGTGGACCTCTCTCACATTTGTTCATTTTGTAATGATATCTTTAATTCTCTAATTTTGGTGAATATTTTTGTCATTTTTGGTGAAAAGAGATATTTTCAACTTCTTGTTAAAAACCACAAGTCCGATTGCTTTGATATTACATATATAGGTACTACATGTGGATCTCTCTCAGATTTATTTATTTTGTAATGATATCTTCAATTCTATAATTTTAGTGAATATCTTTTTAGTTTTTGGTAAAAAGTGATATTTTCGACTTCTTGTTGAAAACAGTCTCGTTGCTATACTATACATATTGTTAATTTTCTAATGATATCTTCTGTTCTTCAATTGAAATGTGCATTGCTAACAGCGGAGCTATCTCAACCGACAGGCAGCTTGTTTTCATATTCTGATTTAAAATGACTGACTCATTCTCTGTTTACTATTTACCGGTAACTAACTGAGACTCTGTCATGTCACAGTCCGAGACAGGGACTCATGGATTTGGTCAGTCCATGTCACATTATAAATTGTTTAATGTGCATTTGCTCAGCAAGTTTTTTTTTCAATTCCTGCTCATTCAGGGATATTTTTAGGTTTAAAGTCAACTGAAAATGATAGGTAATACACAATAAATTGCATATTATATCAATTGGCACATTTTTGGGTGAAATATATTATTTTTGGTCAAAAATATAGTGAAAATGATGTTTTTGCCTGTTATATTGGCAATACATTGACCAATTCCATTCAAACTGCTTCACAGTATACATGTATTACATATATTGATTTTACAATCTAAGTGCTTTAGTGGTGTCGTTTTGGGTCAAAATATGTCATTTTTGGTCAAAAGAATGTTTTTTTAAGCTTTGCATTGACAATTTCATTCAAACTTGGAATATAAACTGGTACTCAGTATTGTGAGACACATCTTCAAGGCACATAGTTTTGTCGTTCAACTACAAGGGGTATTGTTCAGGCCAAATTGAAAACTGACTGACTGATCATTTGGTTCACACACTACTTTGTCTTGAAACAGCGGCTATGACATGATATGTCTTGTTAATGTAGGCCCTTTCTCAGTGACCTTTGTAACCAGTGACAACGGGTCTCCCTAACGTCACAGTAGAGGAACTCGAAGCAGACAAATTTATCTCACAGGTTCGGGTTATGGCATGGACAGCTTCACTGATATTTACAAGTGCAAAGAAGGTGTATGACCAAACACACATGGAATAGTTTCTCACAAAAATGATTTAATAAATAACAACAAAAAATTGTACACTGGCTAACTATACACAACATCAATATAGTTTAGCCTAAAGCAGCAAAAGGTATACACTAGACTTAGTAAATTCAAAAATACTAAATGCCCAATTCAATTTCTCCTATCAGTAACAGGAATCCACTCAAAATTTACAACTT